CTGGACAGCCTCAAGTGCTGCCCTCGCCCGGCAGGGTCACAGATCCGGGTCCCGGGACAGCGGACAGCCTCAAGTACTGCCCCCTGCCTACCCAGTCACAGATCTGGGTCCCAGACCGCGGACAACCTTAAGTGCTGTCCCCCGCCCGGCAGGGTCACAGATCGGGTCTCAGACCGCAGACAGCCTTTGCTGTCCTACCCTGCCTTCAGTATGCAAATTAGCCGCCATCTTAGTTGGCAGTTAATTTGCATATCGCCCTGATTAGCCAATGGGAAGGGTAGCGGTCGTATGTCAATTACCATGTTTCTCTTTTATTAGATAGGATAAGAAAACCTATGCTACACAGGCCACCAAGATATCTCAGTTCACAGCCAGGAAGTTTTGTGTTAACTTGACATGTTATATAATTTGTTTATTACTTGTTAATGCTCTGGTGGCTGTAGCTTTTGATTTTTTGATAAGCACTGAAAGATTTACTACTTCATGTCTCACTTTTAGAAACCTGATCTGCATTTCTTTATTAGAACAACAGCCTGGTGGTTATCAGATTATGCAGAATTTTACCATGGAATGAGTTATGTTTTATAGCAGATATGATCAGTTCTACAATGTGTGTCTTTTCTTCTGTTATCTGTTTGCACAGGATTGCAGCTGAAAACTTTTTGTTTGTTTTAGGTAAATGGAGTAGATTTAGCAGGCAAATCCCAAGAGGAAGTTGTTTCCCTGTTGAGAAGCACCAAGATGGAAGGGACAGTGAGCCTTCTGGTCTTTCGCCAAGAAGATGCCTTCCACCCAAGGGAACTGGTGTGTAAATTTAGAGCACGTGAAAGATTTCTGATGCACATGAGCCAGGGTTGGTCTGGGCTACCTACCTGATGACCAATGTTTATTCGGATATTTTCCTAGTAGTTTCTATATTTTATATGTCTTTCAACCTTACAGGCATTCTTTTCTCAAATTTCTCCAGGTCTGGAAATAGATATCTACAATGTTGAGTGTAGGGTTATTTAAAAATCAGATTGCAGGGATATTTTCTAGGACAGCAAATGCTTATTACTGAATAATTCCTGATGGCCTGATTGAATACAGAGATGTTGATTATTTCATTACTGTCACTTCAAAGGCTCTTGTTGACAGTTTGCTGTGTTCTCTACTACCTATGACAAACCCTTCAGATTTCAGATTTCCATGGATGCAAATAAAGATGCTTGCTTCTTGTAAGAAAAGGAATACCTTTAAAATATTGTTATTGAAAATAAAAAGACTTAAGTGTCAGTAAGCCCCATGACCATTAGTTACTAACATAAACATTATTGCAAATAACATAAATCAAATGAAAAAAACTTTTTTGCAAACATTTTCAGTTTTTATGCATATATCAACACATCTAAATATTAAATAAAAGTGTTTATGTAGTATTGGTGAAAAGGAAATATGTATATTAAGTTAACATAGTTCTAAGTGTTTTTCTGCAATAAGGGCAAAGTTTATTTATATATAAAAACAACATAATTGGAGGAATCACCTTTACTTTTGATGTGGTGAAAATTGTTTTACTTCATGTACAAATGGTATTTTAAATATTCTAGCTGGGTCATTTTACAACATTTGACATCTCTTTCAGATAGCTTTATAGCTTTGTCTAAAAAATAATTCATATTACCACAAAATACCGACTCTTCCACAAAATACCGGCTCTTCCATAGAATACCGACTTCTGCGCATGGGCCACGAAGTTTCAGTCGCACTGTACATGCGTGCCTGCACGTGGTATTTTGTGGAGGAGCCACAGTCAAGGTGTCAAAGAGCCGCATGTTGCTCACGAGCTGTGGTTTGCCGACCACGGTCTTAAGCTAATACTTCAAGTATGGATATGCCATGGTGAATAAAATGTCCCTGTTATTATAAGTAAGATAAATTTTAGTTATAAAAATGTCCCATCTCATGGTTACTGACAGATCCAAAATTTTTTGTGATTCTGTGGAAATTTCAGTTTTAATAAAGCTGAAGTGAGCACTTTTGTTTTAAGTAGATTTTGGAAAAATTTCTATTTTAAAATGTTTAATGCATCTCTCTTTCCCCCACACTGTTATCTAATTTTGTGCTTAAAATGCCACCTGATCCTAAATCTGGAGATGTCTTTATTAAGTTGTAAATTTGCATTTAAAGCAAAACTAAGATTTAGATATGATTTGATGAAGCTTTAATTCTTCTCAGTATGTGAGTTTGGGTAATAGCATTATTAGATTGCCAAAGCTTGCACACGCTCTTAAGCAGCCTTTCTAGAGTTAGTGCCAACATACAGTCAGCTTAAGGTTATTGAGGTTCTTCTTGTCCAATTTTGATATTACATGCTTCTGTTTTCCCCTTCTGCTACCTACTTTTTTTTCTTGGTTATTTAATTTATTGCCTTTGAGCGTTTCATTAACGAGCGAGCCAGTAGGCCGTCAGTCTGTTACTAATGTTGCATCTGCTTGTCAAGATTTAGAAGAATAAAATTCTGAAAACTTAAAGGGTGCATTTAAAATGATCTTTTAATCCAATGACCAAACTTCCTCAGTTTTGGGTGTCTGTGTATAAATTCTGTGTCTACAATGAAATACCTTTATCAATATGTGGATTTTAAATTAACCTTGTAACTGTGTAATTAAAGCTACTCTATAATATATGAAATAAGTCACATTTAAAATATATGTATATTTTAAAGTATAATACTTTTGGTTCACACTGTTATTATCTGATCTAGCTATCAAGTTATCATATAACATAACTTATCTTTAGTTGGAAAAATTAAAAATAAATTAGAAATAGTGCTATGAATAGAAGAGCTGTTTGGTGAGATTTGATTTTCTTTCTCTACTAAATTGATGATGTACTGTGAACGAGCAATTAAAAACATACATCTAGAAAAATGTAAAACACACACCCACACAAGATAACATAAGCATCCCAGTGAAAGTTTGGAAGACAGAGTAATACATCGTCCAAAATATAATCACACTCTATTTATTTTGTGGATTTTAAAAACCAGTATAATTTCCTTTCAAGTAAACCTTGTGTCCGTTTGTGTTGAAGATGGCTTTGGTCAGTCTGTATTTATGTTTTTCTTCAATTCTTCTAGAATGCAGAGCCAAGCCAGATGCAGATTCCAAAAGAAACGGTAAGAGCTTTGTCTTTTTCAGGATGCAGAGATGTTTGAAAGATAAGTGGCACTAACTTCTTACTAATTAAGTAAATATGAAGTTAACTTGTCCTCCCTTTTCCTGGCACATATAGAGATTACCTAAATTTATTAAATTGCAAAGTGGTATTAAGGTGCCTTACTGTTATTATCCCCAATATAGAATATTTCATGCTTATTTTTGGTTAGACAAAAAAGGGAGATAGATTAGTTTTCTATTATAACTGCATAAGAGAGACCAAAAGTTGGTGAGTCTGGTAGTTTGACATATATGTGAAGAACTTCATGAGTTGTGAAATACTATAAGTGGCTACAAAGTGAAAAAAACAAACAAAAACAATACTTGATTCAGACACAGAAAAAATAGGGAGGACTAAAAGCACAATAAAAATGTGTCGTAATCAGGAAAAATAAAATGTCAGTAATTAGGCTAAATATAGAGGTATTTTAGTATAAATGATATTAGCCTATTATAAAAAGTTAACAATAAAAGTAAGTATTCCCAACATGGATTAAAATGCAAATCTAGTTGTGTTCTGTTTAGAAAACAAATCCTAATAGATACAGACTTGAAATCCTATCTAATAATAGAGAAACATGGTAATTAACTGTAACTTCGCTACCCTTCCCATTGGCTAATCAGCAAGATATGCAAATTAACTGCCAACCAAGATGGCGGCTGGCAGCCAGGCAACTGAAGCAAACAGGAGGCTTGCTTGCTCCAGTGATAGAGGAAGCCAAGGTTCCTGGCCTGCCGCTGCCAGCCTCTGATCTTGCACTCAAAGCAACTATGTTGCAATTATAGAAGCTAAACAAGCTCCAGAAACCTGCTTTCAGCCAGCTTCGGCCTCAGAGCTTAGAGCTACTGTGATGGCAACAGAGTTTCAATTATAGAAGCCAAACAGACCCAGAAACCTTCCTTCAGCCCTCAGAGTGGGAGCCGGCTCTCAGCTCCAGTGACAGCTATAGAAGG